TCTTCACTGTTTCATGATGAAACGTTTTATAGTGTTAGATCTTGCTAATCATCTTCACTCTTTCATGATGAAACATTTTATAGTGTCAGATCTTGTTGATAAGCTTCACTCTTTCATGATGAAAGACTATTATTATGATGGCAGATCTTGTATGACAATCAGGGACACTTTGACAACATAATTAAAAAAAGAAAAAATAATCACGATTTCCATTGAAATGATATGAATAATGACTATTGTACAAAACGATATCCAATGGACTTAAATAGATAATGTTCATACTATACAGAATGATCTCTGTTGGAATGATATGGATAATGATTACTGTACAGAAACACCCATGTAAAACTAATATGGATAATGTGCAATGCTGTACAGAATGACCTCTGTAGAAATGATATGGATGATGTCAACTTTACAGAATGACCTCTGTAGAAATGATATGGATGATGTCTACTTTACAGAATGACATATAGAACTAATATGGAGTATGTATACTGTACAGAACGATCTCTGTGGGAAGGATATGGATGATGTCTACTTTACAGAATGACCTATATAGAACTAATATGGAGTATGTATACTGTACAGAATGACCTCTGTGGGAAGGAAATGGATGATGTCTACTTTACAGAATGACTTATATAGAACTAATATGGAGTATGTATACTGTACAGAACGATCTCTGTGGGAAGGATATGGATAACGTCTACTTTACAGAATGACTTATACAGAACTAATATGGACCATGTATACTGTATAAAAACGACCTCTATAAGAATGATACGGATAATGATTAGTGTGCAGAACGACATCTATAAAGAATGATATAAATGACATATTCCTTTCACTGTATCAAAATCAGTTATTCATTTAAACAAGTATTTATATAATCTATTGAATGTGTATTAACTGAATGTTCCACAACTCTTTATAAAACATGTGTTAACTTTTAAAGTAGGACACTAAGAAACAATAATCAACAAATACATCGAAAGTTTCTAGGTCTATATCTATGATAATGTTGAATCTTTTCCAGTTTTTTTATGATACACCCATCCATATGTATATATAATATTAACCAGGCTCAGTTACTGCCTAAACAGATTCGTAGAACTTGGCACAATTTCAGACAGAAAAGTAACTCAGTTAACCCCCATATGACAGGCTTGAAGAGTGAAACACGTTGTAAACGCTTATCATGTTTCACATGAAATAGGACCGCAGATAAGATAGGTTATATAAATTTTTATAATTTCCATGCATGAGGTGGTTTTTTAATCTAACGAGGTGAGTGTTTTGACTGTTTTCAATGTGATATTAGAAAAATATGTACCTAGTTCGTAATCGTTAATTAAAACAATTTTAGTTAATTGGTTGTTATTTGAAAGTCACTACTTATTCAGACATTGTTATAACACTGTGAAGGTAGTATTGCACGACATTAATAAATAGATAAATAATTTTTTATCTACCTCGCGCCTCCCAGTGGCCCTGCTGTAAGGCTGCGGATTTGCAACGCTAAAAACCAAGTTTTGATACCCGTGGTGTACACAGCACAAATAGCTCACTGTGTAACGTTGTCCTTAACTACAAACAAACAGATTATCTAACTCGCGATATACTATATATGGAGATACTGTGCTTTAATTGATCACAACTAATGCACGCGATTTTTTCATAGCATAAAATTTAGGCTTAGTTTTAAAATATCATTATTATACGTTATTCCGTAATTAGCGTAAGCCTAAAGTTATTCTTTTGACTTTTTTCGGTATGTCTATGAAGAATTAATGGTATTGAGAGAGATGGCAGAACTAGGGTATAAGTATAAGGCTAATTTTAAGAATAATTGTTATTTTTCAGCCGTGTGCAAACGCGTGACTCCCAAGCTTTGTAAAAATCAAAAATCGGTTCTTATTAATTTATCACTCTAAAATTTAATTTATGAGTGAAGGAATAGAAAGAAACTAAAATATCTATTTATAAAACACAGAGTAACGTGAACCATGGAATACTTAAATTTCCGAATGCTTGAACACATTAGCTTCAAGAAGGTGTTGAGTCAAACAAACGGTAAATGTTAAAATACGTTAATTTTCAAGAGTGTGTTAATTTTACAGAGCGTTACAACTTAGCACATATACCCAGAAAGGGTTTGTAATGATTTAAAAATACAGAGAGAGGGAGTGAAAAGAGAAAACAAAACTATTATATTATTTTCTGTTTACATAGTTTGCTCATTATAGATAAAATATGTATGCTTATTACTCGTCTACGGAACTTTAAATGGCAATTGTTTTGCTTTATCGTGAACATTGTGTACCTTTATAACAGGTCTGCAAAATTTCATTCACCGGGGTTTCATGCTTTTTATTCTAGAGCTAGGTGAAGTTTTCCAGAAAAGTTTACAATTTTCAGTGCCCCAAATCTTTGTCTAGCAATGAATAATAAAACAATAGTGCATTTTTTTAATTTGTTGTATGAATGTGAAGATGAAAGCTCAGTGTGCACATCTGTGCAAAGTTTGATTGTAAAAATTTAAAAATCTGCTTTTAGGTAGATTTAAATATAACTTGTATTTCGCCATTATTCGCCACTAAGGGAAACAACTCCTAACAGTTAGCACATTTACTACATGTTGATAAAATTATACAATGTGAGTAATGTCGACTTGGCTGTATTTAAGAGATATCACCCTCTGTTTGAGATAAAGCAGAACTGTGATTTTCTTTTCTTTCAACTGTTTTTGGATTAATCTAAGAATGTTGTCACCAGAATGAAATTAAATTATCTAAAAATGCAGAATATTGCTTATAATGCATTTAATTTATAGAATGAAGTACGACTTTCAATAGATTTATCGAGACAATAACATGTTTGAGATTTTATTTATCTTTTTTTTAAGCCATACTACATATCATAATATCTGTTAAAAGAAGAAAGAAAAAAGTTTATCAGCTAATATGTTGCCCGTAGTGTAAAACGTATTTGTTTCCTCGGGTTTAAAGACGATTGGACTGTTTAGTATATTTTGAATTTCTGCGCTAGCCGTTCCTAATTTAGCAGAGAAACACTAGAAGGAAGGCAACTATTCAACAATCACCACCCACCGCCAACTCTTGGGCTACTCTTTTACCAACAAATAGTGGGATTGATCGTCCCATTATAACGCCCCCACGGCTGAAAGGGCCAGCATGTCTGGTGAGACGGGGATTCAAATCTGCGACCCGTAGGTTGCGAGTCGAGCGCCTTAACCACCTCTTAAAGACAATTTTGATTCCATAGTTTTGTGGTGACTAGCTGGTGCAAATTAAGAAATTCGGCTAAATCTAAGAAATATGATAATTACTCTATGTGAGATAACGTATTTATATTGAAGCTTATGTAGTAGAGAATGAGAGAATGCAAATATATATTAATATATATTTATTAATCCACAATATATGAGTGCTTAGCGCGTAGTATTCAAAATAACTTTTTTTTAATTGCACATCTATCAATTAATTGATAAATTATAAAAGAAAGAAATAGAAATCACGTGTTTATCATTGTAAGAACTAGCCAATCATTTTCCTCAATTATGATTTTCTTGTGTGTGTTTGAGTGTTCAAATAAAAATTTTTCTTTTAATAATAATAATGTTTTATCCGAGTTATTGACTAGTTTCACAACATTCCTCATTGGTCTGTAGACCGTTTAACAGCTTTGTTAACCTGGTGCTCGAAATTGGTACATTTTATACATAATGTCAGATTACTTAATCTGGAATTCTGTATCTTATTTCGGAACAATTTTGTTTCTTCTTTTTTCAAATACGAGTAAAGAAAATATTTATTGGTTTAATAGTGAAAAATGATATTTCGGGCCATATATTTCCCGTACATATAAAGACTTTTATTGAAAGTTCGTGGAGTACGTCTTCGAATTTCTTAACTTATTCATAATTTATTCTGTGTGTGTGTGCGTGTGTTTGTAATCAAGCGCAAAGCTACACAATGGGCTCTCTGTGCTCCGCCCACCACAGGTATCGAAACCCGGATTCTAGCGTTGTAAGTCCGCAGACATACCGCTGTGCCACTGGGAGGCTATATTATTCTGTTCCAACCTCGCTTTAGAAGTATTTCTTCATGAATTTTTTTTCATATTTTAGAACGTAGACACGCGAAGCAAACACGTATTTTAATAAAGTATGATGATGTAATGATATCGTTTTTTTTGTTTTAGCTTTTTACAGATTTATAGTTGTGGAATTATTAGTGATAGCCTATTACTCCAACACCACTTATTGGAAGCAGGACATGTCTAGTAAAACGAAATAACCATATTTTGAGGTCTAACCATGAAAATGAGAAATACTCAAATTATGAACAGTCCAGTAGTGTGATTAGATACAGCTGTCTTTGTCATCTGACATTGTTGGGTTTGAATTAGCTCGTGCACAGTGCCGTTTCCACTGTTTTTTGTTCTTTCTCACAACCAAAGCATGAGCAAACAAACAACTACCGGCAGCTTCATCAAGAAAGCACTTGACCCTGTTTAAATAAAATTCTATACTTCAAAGACTTACAAATGTTGTACTTGTGGTTCCATTGAACGTAAAAGGTCCACCCACTCTGACATGATATCAAAGGGACTGAGTCATTACAAATGCTTTTCGTTAGCTTATTTGTTTGTTGTTAAGTGCAAAGCTACACAATTGGCTCTCTGTGCTCTGCCCACCAAGAGCATCGAAACCCAATTTTTAGCTGAGCCACTGGGTGGAGGAGAAGGCCTTTCATTAGTTGTTTTTGCTTATATCATTGTACAAATGTTGTTTATATTAAATTAAAATCCGAATCGGTCAAATGGTGGTAGTTATTATATTTGTTGGATTCGGTGTGTTTATCAGAATGTTTTATTCATTGAAGCTTTGTGAATAATATTTAAGCTCTCTTTGTTATTTTAAGATTTTTTTTTCAGCTTAATTATTTGTAAGTAAAGTATTTCTTTTCTTCTAGATGGAACAAATCGTAGAGCGAATGCAAGATGAACAGACCGGTGTTCCCGTAAAGACTGTTAAAAGCTTCATGTCCAAAGTCCCAAGCGTTTTTACAGGTAAGACAGTGGTGGCATCTGAAAATTTTGATTTAAATTATTATCTTGGAGAACTAACAACTTTCATTGAACGTTTGCCACGTTCTCAAAATGGGGCCATTGCATATCTACAGAAAGCAAGACATTCGAAACATTTTTTTTTTGACAAAGTAAATGTCAATTTTACATACATAAATATATATTTTTTTGGAAATACTTAAATTTAAACCAAATATCAGCTTTAAGTTACGTGAAGCAATTGATAGAGTTAAGTAGTATGTTAATGCAACTGGCGTAAAAGGTCTGACTTGGGGTATAAGGAATAAAGAGGTTGAGAACCACTGAAATAGTACCCTGTAGGCTCTCCAGACTTCAATCCCATCAAGCATTTATTGCATTGTTCGAGAGAGACGACTCCAGACACTAAATATGACCTAGAAACAGCTCTTTCAGATGAATGGTCTCAGAACGAGAGTAGGCTGAATGACCAGTGATATGACGTACCATCAGATGCCAGATTTACATCACACTTACTTAACTCAGGTGGTGATTATATTTCAACTGTACCAACCGGCCCCTTTAAAAAACTAAATAGTAACTTGTATTAATCAAAAAGTAAATCAAAACAATTCAAGGGTGAGTCAATAATACACGAACGTTGATACTGGCTAGTGGAATGGGCTGGTAATTCACTGAGACTGCCACCCATTTCTGAGGCTTGAGGTTTACTTTCTTTTTTAATGTTTTTCTGAGGTTCTCGCGTACCCCGAGAAAGGTCTCGGCGCACTACAAGGGGGAGAGGTGGTACATTTACCAAAGGCTGGGAACCACTGCTCTGTTCAGTCAATTCCCTATTCTTCAAAACAAGTGTCAAACAATTTAAAACAGTAAAAGCAGGCTTTATCGTCCATCAAGATTACAAGAGAGCCAATTACACCAGTATATGGCAGCACAAAGAATCTTGAAATGTGGTACGTATAATGTGTGGCAGTAAATATACCATTCCGCAGGGTGTAGAGGTCGATACGTCCATCATCACTTATTCCTGCCTTTGTCATACTTCTACCCACCATCATACGTGTCACGTTCCTGCTTGAAAATAAGTTAGATCTGGTTCCAGGTTATCTTCAAATGAGTGTATGCTCGTTATTTGGCTGCGAGATGGAATGGGATTCATCCATAAAAAGAATATTTCTGCACATCTCGTTGGTCCAATTGATGCATTTTGGTCGCGTGCTCTATTTAGTCCCTTGCTGTAACAGAATACTTCTCGTTGGGCATCTGGCATACAGGCATGTCTGGTGAAGTGTGTTAAAAAACTGTCTGTACGTCCTTGGCGTCCGGTTGTGGCTGCAAACACTGTTTCAGCCTTGAAGCAGGTGGTACCTTACAGGAGTCAGAATCCACAGACAGCGGCCAGGTCCAAGTCGTATGCTTGTTTTGTAAATGATGATCTGCCTTGTCCAGATGTCCAAGCAATTATGTCATTGGTTTATAAACAGTTTACCACATTGATAACGACACTTTGGATGCTTTTAGCCAATTAGCAATAGCCTATTGTGGTTGGCCGACGGCTTTCCACACTACTGAAACAACTAAATATAAAATTAGAGGTCTAGGCATGACTCGTGAACACAGTGTAATAATTTTCACTAAAACGTTGAGAGTTTGAGAAACGAGAGAATATCGCCTGCTTGACACACAGAAAAACGAATGAATGAAACAGACGCTGCGTGTTGTCACCCACGGCCTAATGTGCTTCAGGTCACTTAATTGCATCAGGAACTTTGTACAACATCAGGGGTGGCGTGTATAAAGAGGTTTGGGAAGGCTTAACGTGAAGAGAGATACTTCATCTCTGACTGCTCTAGGAGCAACCCCCCCCCCCTCACTTGGACACTTGTCGTGGACAAAGCCTCCTCAAATAAAATGTCCCTTACAGAACATTATACCACCAACTAAAAATTATTAAACAGTATATATAACAGAACAGCCTACCCAAACAAAAGATTCCCGCGCCACCTATGTACAACATCTAAAAATTGTTCAAGAAATTCAAATGTGCTCTCAGAGCATGAGGAAAAGCTCACCTGTTAGAAAGTGATAAGTTACTATAAATCATATTTGAAACAGTCACAAAACTTTACTGCGTCCAATGAGGTCACATGTGGGCGGGCTTTACTTGTCATGTGTGTGTGCTTAGCGTAGTCTCAGTTAACTTGAGAACTTTGGAAGTTCCTGTATACTCAACTTGCACATCTCCCATGAAAATGCTAGCGACAACTTTGTTTTTTATAAAGACTACTGTATCTGCATTGGGATTGTGACAACTTGTCGCAAATGTTGAGTGATATTAGCCGCAGTATCGAAGTGATGTTCGAATATGGATGTGGAGACAAGCAGGGGAACAATTCAATGGTGTTTTTATTCTACATAGTAAACTTGCGACCTGTTTGTAAGGTTATCTGCATATTCAAGTAAATAGGAATATCGTGATATTTTAAATGAACACGTTTCAAGAACCACGGCGTAATGCTTCAGTAAGCAGGCCAAGGTGCTGTTCTAATAGGATAATTACTCGTGCCACAAAGCAAGTGCGATCCATCCTACTTTCAAAGGATTGGTATGAACGTCTGGGAGGAATACACACAGGTCTCAGTTTTAACCATATGAAACATGTTTTGGACTATTTAATGAGAGATAATTTTAAAAGTTAGGCCACATTTAACCGGTCAGGAGCGGCGCTATCATGGGTGGATGGCAACTAAAATGTTGTTGGCCCCTCCTACTAATGCCGTTCATTATCACTAAGTGCTGTAGTGTTTAGTATGTAGGGATGAGCCGGGAAAAAAACTGGCCGACACATATTACGTATTGTTCATCATAGTCTCAAATCTCTCTTATAACAATCTAAGAGACTTTAAAAACACCTAACTTAAGTTTTTCTACTTTTTACTACTTTTGAGCTGACAGTTCGGAGATAAGGCAGCTAGTGAACACTGTCCACAGCCACCTAACTCTTAAGCTGCTAGTGTTTGACCGAATAGTGGGATTTGGTTGTTACCATTGAAATGCACCCACGGCCTTAAAGTCCGAAGTGCGATTTATTATTTTGACGGTAACGGGACGCGAACATTGGACCCGCAGATCCACACTAACCACTAGGCCTCTTCCAGCTCTCCCCCAACAAAACATTTTATGTACATATTATTAATAGTAACTTCTGATCAGACTAAGTTGCCTACTTGGATAAAAAGTAAAAATCAACCTGGTAATGAGTATAGCCAATTAAATATATTTTTCATATGTGCTTACCTATAAATATTAAAATGAATTGTTTCATCAGTTGGTTACCCTAGCTGTTAATAATATTTTTGGTCGTAATTGATGCGCATTAACAACACTGGTGTCAACAAAACAACAATTCTCACTCACACTACTATTCTCTGAGAGAAGATTTATCAAAATAAGGTTATTCAAAAAATTACAGAAAGTGGCGCTTACAATATAATTTCCTACGAGCTATTGAAACAGAGTAGCATCTTTTTTGTTCCAAGATTCCATTTGTCGAGTTTAAATTTAACAAAAAATGCGTTTAAGGAAAACTCGAATTATTAATCGAACGTTAACTAACATTATTGAGCTCTTGGATTTAACTGATAAGAAGCAGGCTACAGAAAATAGAGGAAAATACCAGTTAATTAACTAGTCTTTATACATAACAGCCAAGTGAAATATTTGAAAGAAATCGAACAACAATTTCTACAATCTTACACACACAAAAAAAAACTAGCAAACTGTGTTACAAATCTCGATAGAACGAGCGTAGCCTACAGGCTAGTGTTCTCGGATGTCAGTCGGGGAATTCATATTTAGCTATTCGATGGCGCAAAAAATGTACTCCGCCCTTTGTAGCCGTGGGTACGCTGTAAGAGCGACAGTCAAATCCCACTATTCGATCTGAGTAGCCCAAAAGTTGGTTGTGAGTGATGTTGATTGGTGTCCTCACTCTAGTCTATCAGCTCAAAATTAAGAACGGTTGTCGCTAATAGCCCTTGTGTAGCGCTGTACGAATATTCAAAACAATTTTTTTTGTCCCTGTGATACATATTTTACGTAGTTGGCTAAAAACTTTTTTTTTTTCAAATATGAACCGTTTTAATAATTAATAAATGTATTAAAATGAACTGTATAATTACCATTTATGTGTTTTTTTAAAATAAGTTTTACTTATAACACCATTCTTACTAGGAGGTTTAGCATGGTCACCCTTAGCGGATGCCTATTTCAAAATTTGAAAGGCACTTCGTTTCTAAACGTATTTTTTTATTTTTCTCAATATTGGAATGGTGTAGAAGTTTTTAACACCGATAAAAGAAGACCAAATGTTCTTCTGTATTTTCGAGAGTACATTTATTTTTAAATTTATGTTCCTACGCGTTTGAATTTTTTTTTTCAGTTAAAATTATAAGTGACTAATTATTAAACTTTTTTTTGGAAAAGTTTGTTTAAGAATTTTCACGCAAAGCTATACAAAGCGCTATCTGCGCACTGCCGTCTCTAATATTGAACTGAGAGACTAGAGAGACTGCAACTAGTCAATAGAACCTAGTGCCAGCTCTTGGTCCTGATCGAATAGTGTGGTTTGACCGACACTTTTATAACATACCCACAGTCTTAAAGTTGGAATCCCTTTTTTTAGCAGTAAGGGGCCGCTAGCCATCAGGCCATATCGGCTACTTCAGGTTTCGCTTGAAGTTAAGCACAAAGCTACACAATGGGCTATCTGTGCTCCCCACCACGGGTATCGAAACCCGGTTTCTAGCGTTGTAAGTCCGCAGACATAGCTACTTTAGGAAAACAAAAGCTCTTAAGTAAACAATTGTGTTACAGAGATTTGTATACAAAATTCGCAGTTCACAAAAAAGTGGTTTATATTATCATTGTACTATTATAAGTTTGATGATATAGTCTCGTATCGTATGTATGTTCGGGATATAATACAATTTACGCATATATAT